AGTCATTCTTGCTTACAGCGTCTGGACAAATTATTACTACAACAATTATTTATCAAATTGTCGCAATATTTCTTTCCCTATTTATGAACTGTAATCTATCAGACTATTGTAGCATTGACACATTTTATAGTAATAATAATAATAATAATAATAATAATAATAATAATAATAATAATAATAATAATAATAATAATAATAATAATCGCCACATGTAACATTTATAGTTTTATATAATATCTCGTTTTTAACTAAAACTTCGGCTTAGGTTTATTCAACGGATCAACGTCATGGCACCCATAGTTACTCCGCGCTACTTCTAATTAAAGCCTGAGTCCGAAGAATCTCAGCTTAGTGCACGAACTCCGTAGCACCGGCGAGGATCCTGAAATACTTTGGGTAGATTTTTAACTCCAAATTTTGCCCGGTCAGCTCCGTTAGGATACTCTTTTTCGATTGCTAATTGAAAGAGGATTTTTCTTACGTGCGCAACAATACACACGGGCGTCCGATCTTACTACACAGACACCAGAAAAAATTACTAAAAGTCCACGTAAAATAAATTACAGCCTTCACTGGGGCTTGAACCCAGGACCTCCAGCACTCGGGGCGGACGCCATGCCTCCATACAAGGCAGCCCCTTCCCCGCCCCAACTATTGGCCGCAAAACGAGAACACCATTCGATATTCACACACTTAGTCGTCAGTCATTGAAAAGCTAGTCGTACCAAATACAAAAACAACTTGAATATTTCTAATATATATATTTTTTTTTAATTCGTACTTGATTTTAACGGAAACCTTGTGATAATTAGAAAATCGCATTAAAACTTGTTGAATGCAAATAAACAGCAAGATATAAAAAGGATTAAAATCAAAGATTCCCAAATCGAGAGCTTGTGCCTTCCCTCTCTCCCCCCCCCCCCCTTTTCTCTCCCTCCCCCAATCGACGTGAGCAGTCTAATTTCGACCACATTAAACCACGCCCCAACATAGAATCCCATTTTTTTTTCAGCCCCACTCTGGCTGAAGTCTGGGCCCCTAACATAACCTAAACGTTGAACATGGTTTTTCGGGTGATTAGCATCCGAATACTGGCATTTTGTGTCAGCGTGTGTTGATCGTTCGTTGTGCAGTCCTTGTTTGGTTAAACGGGGGTGGGGGGGGGGGGGGTTGGGGGAGAGAGCTGTAAAAATTACAGCTAGTAGGGTTTTGAATAAACATGATTCTTAACATAAGTTAACGTATATCTTCCTATGAATGTGTGTCAGCGTGTCTGCATGGGATCAGGGACAGATGTTTTGAAGGCTATGGCAAAGGGTTGCAAGTCCAACATATGTGTGGGAATCGTTTTCAGCTGAAGTAACCCCTCGTTAGCTCAAGACACTGGCGGCTGCAGTGGCACAGTGGCTAGCCTGTTGCCATGCCGGTCTGGCGGTAGGAGGTTCGAATCCTCATAGATTTGAAAATTTATATGGACTCCCAAGTACATCCAACTTAAATTGGGAAGCTTGAAATGATGTGTGAAGTAAAAGTGATCAGAATTTATTTTTATTATGTTTTTTTTTTTTATTATCTTGCTCCCAGGTCGACCCATCTTTAAATGGGTACCATGTAAAGTCCCTGAAGTAAAAGCGGCCTGGGTGACGTTGCCCACATCACCCACCGAGTGCCGAGTGCTCTATACAGTATAGGTCTAGCCCTATATGCCCAATACGTCTGAGGATGTGGGAAAGGGTCGTTTAGTTTAGTTTACAAAATGTTCATTTGGCCTTAATACCTGGATATATGGGCTTTTACTTTATTTCTTTGGGGGGGGGGGGCTACTGTAGGGAAGGCAGTTGACCAGAAAGTTTCGAGCAAGATGTTACAGTTCCTGTCACACACTGAAAGATCATACGGCAGTGTGACAAGAGGATGGTGTCTTGCTAGGCAATTATGATTGAAAACAATCGTATGTTGTTAGTTATTCATTACAACAAATGTAAAACAGAGTAAAAATATACTCCCGTGTTTTCGATGTGTTCCCGGCCGTCCCCTGAGTACTTTCAAGAAACAAAAACTCTGGGAATAAGCTCGAGAATAGAATGCATATATAGGTACAGACATATATAAACTAAACGTGAAGACTAGAGACAAACATTTTAATATTAATTAATTAGGATGGCTTATATAGTTGATAAGCTTATATAATCTCTGTAATCTCATCTTCTTAAAATGTATTAGTTCCTTAATAAAAAGTGATAATATTACATTCTAGAATTTTATAGGGATGGGGGTGGGTGGGGTAAAATTTAAAAATAAAAAATCATACACATCATATACTGAAAGCATGCATCTTTCCTGTAGTAAGGTAATAACGTGAGTTGCCACTCTCTTGCATTGTAAAAGGGACACAATTAGGGTTTTTTGAGATTGATGCTGCAAAAATGTTTCTTAGAATACCACGGGTCAAGAAGACAAGGAATGCGAACATCGAGAAAAATTGCCTCATAAAGAGCATCTCGTCTCGGAAACGGAAATATTTTGGCAATATCAAGCACCACATATAATGCACCACATATCAAGCACCACATATCATGCACCACATATCAAGCACCACATATCAAGCACCACATATCAAGCACCACATATCATGCACCACATATCAAGCACCACATATCAAGCACCACATATCAAGCACCACATATCAAGCACCACATGTCAAGCACCACATATCAAGCACCACATATCAAGCACCACATATCAAGCACCACATATCATGCACTACATATCAAGCACCACATATCAAGCACCACATATCAAGCACCACATATCATGCACTACATATCAAGCACCGCATGTCATGCACCTCATATCATGCACCACATATCAAGCACCACATATCAAGCACCACATATCAAGCACCACATATCAAGCACCACATATCATGCACTACATATCAAGCACCGCATGTCATGCACCTCATATCATGCACCACATATCAAGCACTACATATCAAGCACCACATATTGAGCACCACATATCAAGCACGACATATCATGCACCACATATCAAGCACCACATATCAAGCACCACATATCAAGCACCGCATATCATGCACCTCATATCATGCACCTCATATCATGCACCACATATCAAGCACCACATATCATGCACCACATATCATGCACCACATATCATGCACCACATATCAAGCACCACATATCAAGCACCTCATATCAAGCACCACATATGCACCACATATTAGGCTCCACAGTGGACTGGAAATAACAACAGCGTGGAAGGAAAGGGGAGGGGGGGCGAGCAGAGAGGACATGGCGCCAAATAAAAGGGACAGGATCGCCATGAAAAATCCCGGCATAAGGACATATAAGACATGGAGAGTACATGAGACGGGATATCCGGGGATGGACCCAGTAGTACATTTAAGACATGGAAAGTACATGAGACGGGATATCATATCGAGGAATGGACCCAGTAGTACATAAAAGACATGGAAAGTACGTTAGACGGGATATCTGGGGATGGCCCGAGTAGGACATATAAGACATGGAAAGTACATGAGACGGGATATCCGGAGGATGGACCGAGTAGGACATATAAGACATGGAAAGTACATTAGACAGGAAATCCGGGGTGGACCGAGTAGGACATATAAGACATGGAAAGTACATGAGACGGGATATCATATCGAGGAATGGACCCAGTAGTACATATAAGACATGGAAAGTACGTTAGACGGGATATCTGGGGATGGCCCGAGTAGGACATATAAGACATGGAAAGTACATGAGACGGGATATCCGGGGTTGGACCGAGTAGGACATATAAGACATGGAAAGTACATTAGACAGGAAATCCGGGGGTGGACCGAGTAGGACATATAAGACATGGAAAGTACATGAGACGGGATATCCGGGGTTGGACCGAGTAGGGCATATAAGACATGGAAAGTACATTAGACAGGAAATCCGGGGGTGGACCGAGTAGGACATATAAAGACATGGAAAGTACATGAGACGGGATATCATATCGGGGAATGGACCGAGTTTCTTTCATGCAGGCTGTGCTAGGAGCTTCATTCTATAAATGATTTGCTTTATGATGATGGTGGTGGCGATGATGATGGTGGTGATGGTGTTGGTGATGATGATGATGATGATGATGATGATGATGATGGTGGTAGCGATGATGATGAGGGTGATGATGGTGGTGGAGATAATGATGATTATGACTATCGGAGAGGTGATGTCTGGGACTTATGTTGCCGGCACCTTGATCAGCCAGAGTTACCAACAACAGTTGCCCGGGACAGGGTGATAGAGAACAATACTTGAAACTAGCAAAAACGGAAAGTGGTCTATGGTCATTCGGCGAGAAAGCGACATGGTAGAACCAGGGCCGTCTGAAGGCATTGGCCTCTTGGGCACTGAGAGACTAATTACACCGGAACCGAGTAGAGCAGTGATTCCAAAACTATGCGCCGCGGCGCCCTGGGAAGCCTCTACCTTAGGGGCGCCGCAAAATATTGTAAAAGCTTCATATTTGTTTAACCAAGTCACGAATAGTCGTACTTCCCCCTGGGTTAGGGCGCCGTGAGAAATTGTAATTTAAAAAAAAAAAAATGCGCCGCGACCAAGAAAAGTTTGAAAGCACTGGAGTAGAGGGTTTGGAAAATACTCAACACTGAGAGGAAAATACAGACGGACTTTTAATCAGGTCACAACTAATACTATTAGCATGTCGGCTCTTAAAAAAAAAAAAAAAAAAGACCGAGCACCTGTAGGACTGTCCCGAGTGTAGTGTAAATTGTTGATTCCTTTTCATTCATTCATGATTATATACGTAGCCCCCCCCCCCCCCTTTTTTTTCCACCCACCCCACAATCCCCCAGCTTACATGTTTTGTGTGTGAGTAAATGTAAGAAAAGAGGCGGTACAAGTCTACACTATCTCTAACAATCGAAATCTGCTGTATGACTCCACAGAAAGCTCTACGGCTTAGCTGAAGAACGGCTTGTAGCAGGTTCGGTCTGTTCTGTCCGAAGCTTTCAGTGACCGGTAGATGGACATAAACAAGGACGGAAACAACGCTTGGAAGTACTTGCAGGGGTCATCTAGAACCTCTTTGGCCATAGGAGACCTGCAGGTAGACAAAGTGGACGGCTGAGTTTGTTTTTAAGGTGAGGTGGGAGGGAAGGGTTTGAAACACACTTGTGCCTCTTGCAAGTACATCGACAGGCCTACGTTCTCATAAATTGTGTTGTCTTTCCTGATGAGCTGGCGTCTACGGCTTAGGCGATGCGAACTCGCTCCGTAATGCCAGGGTGCCGGGTTCGATCCTAGCTGCATACGGTTTGGCAGCAGACCGTCTTGCATTGGTTTCGCCAGTGGTACCAAGAGCTGACCTTTTAGAAAGCAATGGCAAACAATTGCAAATAAATTTGCTTAGAGAAAAAAACAGCAAAAAAGCAATTCTGGGGTTGGTTCCGCAACAATAGAAAAGCAACCAACTCCCCCCCCCCCCCACCCCCCCCCCCCCACCCCCCCCACCCCCTCCTGATCAGGTAGGTGTTCAATGTAACAATAGACTATATGATTTGTTTATCTCAGATTGAAGTATTATTTTATTGCCCTTTTTTATATGTTGATATGAATTTTGTAGTAAGGGATACAGGGCCGTATTTATGATGTTTGGCGCCCCAGTGCAGTCATTTATTTACACCCAACCCCCACCCATCCCTCTCTTAGTCAGACTTCAGCATCGTATTTGCCATGCTATTTTAAAGATATATCGCTAATCTATTGTGGGTTTTATAACGATGAAATTCCCGGCTCTCTAGCGTAGTTGGCTAAACCGGATTGCGCGGTGACAGGGTGACGAACTCCTTTTGGTCCGGGTTCAATCCCGGGGGTAGGCAGAAAGTCACATTTCTCCCATTTACAGTATTTACAATGGAATCAAGGCCGAAAGGTTGCGATATCCATAATACCGAACCTAAGGGTTAACAACTCATGGCTTCTGGATACTAAAACAAACAAACAAACAAACAAACAAACATAACGATGAAATCAATTCAAATACACACACTTCGTTGCTACTGGTTACAATTGCCGCACCTCCCGTTTCTTATTTCACCGCCCTTTGCAGCTACACATGTTGCACATGACCTAAATGCTGCCCTGAATACAGCTGACGAAATTCGGTGAATTATGCCAACCAATAAAAAAGGACAATTTCCCCCCTGCCTTGAGGCGTACTTAGGCATATAGGGCTAGGCCTATATTTTAAAGACCAACCGGCACGCGTGGAGTGATTTGGTTAACATCACGCCGCTCGGCTTTACTTTCCATACTTCATCTGGTACCCATTTAAGGCTAGGTCGAGCTAAGGCCATTGGGTGGGGTTTTTGTTGTTGGGAGTCCGGCTCTGTCACAACCTGACCCCATGACATGCTGATCAGCCTGCGAGCGTAATAATAATAATAATAATAATAACAATAATAATAATAATATAAATAAAATAATAATATATAAATTATATTGAAATAATGATAGTAATATAATATAGGAATGTGTAGAGGGGAAGAACAGAGGTAGACCAAGAAATTACTGGATACAGAAAGTATTTTAATCGACAGACTTCAACCCGTCAACATCAAGTCCCGACAGGGGTGGAGGGAAATGGTCAGTCAAAAGCAGATGGTGACCCAAAGACACGCGGTGTAATGGGACTAATAATAATCATATAAACAAAGCGCCTGAACAGGAACGATTGCGTATCAACGTTTTTTATGTAGACTATCTGGCAGAGACTTGCCTCTCCTGCATTGGACTTCACAGTCATTGGACTTTACAGTCATTGGACTTTACAGTCATTGTTTCACAACAAGCGGCACAACTCCATGGTTCTCAGGGTTGCCTAAAAATAATAAACATCATCATTATGTGCCCTGCCAACTGGCGTAGGTGCTCATGAGTCTTCAAAAGATCACGTCCCCTGGTTGCCTGGAACAGCTCTCTTGTTGATATCCCTCCGTGCTATCGTCTCAGTCCATTCAGCATCATCTCTCTTGGTCTGCCTATACCCCTTTTCCCCACTGATCTTTCCAGTTGTCGGGATGTTCTCCAATGTGTTTCTTCTCATTATGTGGCCAAAGAACAGTGTTTGTCTCTTTCTTATTGTTGTAAATAGAGATCTACTTTTATTAGCTCTTTCAAGCAATCGTTGTTAGTTACTCTGGTCGTCGAAGGTTAATATACATTGAGTATAATCACAACAGTAAAAACAACAACATAAACAACAACAAAAAACAACAACACAAACAACAACTAAGTAGTCTACCATCTACAGCCTGCCACCAGGTACGGTGTCTGTGGATTAAACTTAGGTGGCCTAGATCGTTATGTTTCTGTCAGCCCTGCCCCAGTTCTCCGAATCCTGGGGATCAATCACCCAGGGTAGCGCGGACAAGGTGTGACACTAACGTATCGGCTGGCGGGGGTGACAACCAGCACTCGGCAAATCACAACATTTTAGGAGAATGTAACCTGAATATGTGAGACACCGTGATGTAGGGTCTAGACGCTTGCCTGCGGATCTGAAGGTAGTTGGTTCAAATCTCAACGGAGCTAGACTTGATATCAAAATAACCTTGGTTCCTAGGTCGACCAAGCCTTAAACTAGACACCAGGTACAGTTCTGGGTGGCCGGTGTTGAACACGTCACCCATAGAGTGCCGACTGATCTAAAAAATATATATGCCTAGCCCTATGTACCCAATTCGTTGAAAGGAGTGGGGAAAGGTTCTTTATAACAAATATGAACGAGCTTACTAAGTGATTGCATTTTCTGTTTGTCACTGATGGGTTGCCTATATAGGGTTCGGGGTCTCATTTTAGGGGCGGACGGGGTAGTCAAGCATGTCGTAAAATAATCTTAATTGGGGATATTTTTGTGGAAATCGCAGTACATGTGCCTAAGAGTCGAGGAACCAACAGTCTGCATACAAATAATCCCGATCTGTCAAACGAATGTGCACGAAAACATGTTCTCGGACAAAACTTTTCAATGACTTGCTTCGGATGTCCTGATCTAGTTCAAAATATTAGTGTGATGTCCCGTTTTTAGCTCAAAATGTTAGTGAGATGTCCCGTTTTTAGCTCAAAATGTTAGTAGGATGTCTCGTTTTTAGCTCAAAATGTTAGTGGGATGTCCCGTTTTTAGCTCAAAATGTTAGTGGGATGTCCCGCTTTTAGCTCAAAATGTTAGTGGGATGTCCCGTTTTTAGCTCAAAATGTTAGTGGGATGTCCCGTTTTTAGCTCAAAATGTTAGTGGGATGTCCCGTTTTTAGCTCAAATGTTAGTGGGATGTCCCGTTTTTAGCTCAAAATGTTAGTGGGATGTCCTGTATTTAGCTCAAAATGTTAGTGGGATGTCCCGTTTTTAGCTCACAATATTAGTGGGTTGTCCCGTTTTCAGCTCACAATATTAGTGGGTTGTCCCGTTTTCAGCTCAGAATATTAGTGGGGTGTCCCATTTTTTGGTGAGTTCCATGCCTCCTCATAGCGCAATATAACACTATGGCACGATGGTCTGGAAAGACGGAAAGGTGTAAATCATGAATCAAAGGTCGTGTCAATTTGTGGAATGGTTTATGTTCATGAATCAATACCCCACAAACCAGGACAGGACTCACAGTCGTGGCTGTCGTCAAGTAAGCAAGTATGAATTCTGCTAGACATGTCATAGTATAGTATAGTAAAGTAAAGATCCCTTTTCACGCCTTTAGGCACATCAGGCATATGAGAAAAGCACCCATACTTTTACAGACCAATCGGCACTAGGTGGGTAATGTGGTCAGCATTACGCCGGCCTTTTCTACTTCCCCAGGACAGCCATCTTGGTACCCATTTTAGGCTGGGTCGACCTTCGATGCTCCATACCATGATAAAAATCCACGCAGCCAGCAGTGGGTTTCGATGGCGGTACGTTGGAATTACGAGTCGGACTCGCAACTCCTAAGCCACGGGCGCCGCTAGACGTGTCATACATATAACATAAATATAGGCTTATGGGTCGGGACTGACTGATTGGTTACCTAGAATCTAGGTCGCTGTACTCGGGGCAGAACCAAATGTGTTGTTTCAGTAGATCTGAATCATTACAAGTAAAAGGACCCTTTTCCAGTCTTCAGTCATATTGGGCATATAGGGCTAGATCTCTATTTTATGAACAAGTTAGCACTTGGTGAATGATGTGGTCAGCTTCACGCCTGCCGCCTTTATTTTCCAGAAAGTTACCCGGTACCCTTTTAGCGTTCGGTCGACGTGGGTGCAAAGGTCACTGTCGAAAATGAACCCATGTCCTTCCAATCCGCAAGCGAGCATCTAACCACTACATCACGGCGATTCTCATCTGAGTCATCACACACAGGTTATGGACGCGATGACATCGTCGCAACAACCTGTCTTCACACCTGCTTCCACTACTAAATGTTATGATTAAAGTGTCATCTTCTTCGGCATTGCGAGCCCTTGAGGTTCATTGCTGCAGATATCACCTGCCTCCATTCCTCTTTGTGACTGACCCTCTCTTTCCAGTCTTGGACTCCCCGTATGAGTGCAGCGAATTGAACCACACAGTGAAAGCACATTATCAGAGGTACCGCCAGAAGGAAAACATTGTGGAAGAGGGGAGGGTTGGGGGGTCACGGGGACCGAAAAGATGAGTCGGGGATCGGGGTTCAAATGACCTGACCTTCCAGGTTCTGGCGCTATGTTCATAAAACACGTGCGTGGCACTGTAGAATATCTAACGACCTTTACGACAAGTGTCATCATCATCAAAGGCAGGTGTCACTATTTCTCACAACAATGACAAGTGTCTTCCTTGTCCCCCAACACAGACAGGTGTCATCATTGTACCTCTACACAGAGAAGGGTCATGATTGTCTCACTACACAGACAAGTGTCACCATTGCCACACAACAATGATAAATGTCACCATTTCTCACAACAATGACAAGCGTCACCATTGTCTCTCAACACAAACAAGTATCATCATTGTCTCACAATAAAGATAATGGTCACCATTGTCCCACAACATGGACAAGTGTCATCATTTCTCACAACACAGACAAATGTCACCCTTTCTCACAACACAGACAAGTGGCATCATTTCTCACAACACAGACAAATGTCACCCTTTCTCACAACACAGACAAGTGTCATCATTTCTCACAACACAGACAAGTGTCACCCTTTCTCACAATATAGACAGGTGTCACCCTTTCTCACAACACAGACAAGTGTCATCATTTCTCACAACACAGACAAATGTCACCATTTCTCACAACACAGACAAGTGTCACCCTTTCTCACAATATAGACAGGTGTCACCCTTTCTCACAACACAGACAAGTGTCATCATTTCTCACAACACAGACAAATGTCACCCTTTCTCACAACACAGACAAGTGTCATCATTTCTCACAACACAGACAAGTGTCACCATTTCTCACAACACAGACAAGTGTCACCATTTCTCACAACACAGACAAGTGTCACCATTTCTCACAACACAGACAAGTGTCACCCTTTCTCACAATATAGACAGGTGTCACCCTTTCTCACAACACAGACAAGTGTCATCATTTCTCACAACACAGACAAATGTCACCCTTTCTCACAACACAGACAAGTGTCATCATTTTCACAACACAGACAACACACAACACAGTGTCACCATTTCTCACAACACAGACAAGTGTCACCATTTCTCACAACACAGACAAGTGTCACCATTTCTCACAACACAGACAAGTGTCACCCTTTCTCACAACACAGACAAGTGTCACCATTTCTCACAACACAGACAAGTGTCACCCTTTCTCACAATATAGACAGGTGTCACCCTTTCTCACAACACAGACAAGTGTCACCATTTCTCACAACACAGACAAGTGTCACCCTTTCTCACAACATGGACAAGTGTCATCATTTCTCACAACACAGACAAATGTCACCCTTTCTCACAATATAGACAGGTGTCACCCTTTCTCACAACACAGACAAGTGTCATCATTTCTCACAACACAGACAAGTGTCATCATTTCTCACAACACAGACAAGTGTCACCATTTCTCACAACACAGACAAGTGTCACCATTTCTCACAACACAGACAAGTGTCACCCTTTCTCACAATATAGACAGGTGTCACCCTTTCTCACAACACAGACAAGTGTCATCATTTCTCACAACACAGACAAGTGTCATCATTTCTCACAACACAGACAAGTGTCACCATTTCTCACAACACAGACAAGTGTCATCATTTCTCACAACACAGACAAGTGTCACCCTTTCTCACAATATAGACAGGTGTCACCCTTTCTCACAACACAGACAAGTGTCACCATTTCTCACAACACAGACAAGTGTCACCATTTCTCACAACACAGACAAGTGTCACCATTTCTCACAACACAGACAAGTGTCACCCTTTCTCACAACACAGACAAGTGTCACCATTTCTCACAACATAGACAAGTGTCATCATTTCTCACAACACAGACAAGTGTCACCATTTCTCACAACACAGACAAGTGTCACCATTTCTCACAACACAGACAAGTGTCACCATTTCTCACAACACAGACATGTGTCACCATTTCTCACAACACAGACAAGTGTCACAATTTCTCACAACAAAGACAAGTGTCACCATTTCTCACAACACAGACAAGTGTCACCATTTCTCACAACACAGACAAGTGTCACCATTTCTCACAACACAGACAAGTGTCACCATTTCTCACAACACAGACAAGTGTCACCATTTCTCACAACACAGACAAGTGTCACCATTTCTCACAACACAGACAAGTGTCACCATTTCTCACAACACAGACAAGTGTCACCATTTCTCACAACACAGACAAGTGTCACCATTTCTCACAACACAGACAAGTGTCACCATTTTCACAACACAGACAAGTGTCACCATTTCTCAACACACAGACAGTGTCACCATTTCTCACAACACAGACAAGTGTCACCATTTCTCACAACACAGACAAGTGTCACCATTTCTCACAACACAGACAAGTGTCACCATTTCTCACAACACAGACAAGTGTCACCATTTCTCACAACACAGACAAGTGTCACCATTTCTCACAACACAGACAAGTGTCACCATTTCTCACAACACAGACAAGTGTCACCATTTCTCACAACACAGACAAGTGTCACCATTTCTCACAACACAGACAAGTGTCACCATTTCTCACAACACAGACAAGTGTCACCATTTCTCACAACACAGACAAGTGTCACCATTTCTCACAACACAGACAAGTGTCACCATTTCTCACAACACAGACAAGTGTCACCTTTTCTCCCAACACAGACAAGTGTTACCATTTCTCACAACATAGACAATTGCCAGCATTGCCTCACAACCGACAAACTTACATCTTATCGAAGTGAAGGCAACAGTTGTAAATAAAGAGCGTCAGCTCTGACAGACTGTTCTTGTACACTCGGAACGATCGCATTTCTTTCATGACAGTCGGATTGATTGCTTGCACCTACATTCAAATAAACGAGCTCATTGTAGACAGTAATTTCAGATGTTTCCATGGGTGAGAAACATTTACATTTATAAGAGAGCGAGAGAGAGAGAGAGAGAGAGAGAGAGAGAGAGAGAGAGAGAGAGAGAGAGAGAGAGAGAGAGAGAGAGAGAGAGATTGAGAAACAGAGAGAACGAACGAACGGACGAACGAACTTTTTTTTTCAAATGGTTACAAATTAGGCACGCAGGCCTGTCTTACATTCGACCCTTCCAAACTCCCATCTTTCACACAGCAGTTGTATCACATCAATAAAACATGTTATTTTCATGTAATAATATGCATATTATGAATATCAAGTCATAAACAAAGGCATAGGTGGTAAAATATGTGCGCACGCTCGCGCGCGAACACACACACCCACATACACACACACACCTAATAAACACATGCATCCACATACATACGAACACTCACACATACATACATATTTACACATACACACTCATACACACTCATTCACACAGTCACACGCTCTAAAACACACACGCATACATACACACACAAAAAGACCCATAAAAACACACACACCTGCGCACACAGACATAAACCCACACAGACACACACACATGCAGTCACAGGCACACACACACAGACACATACACACACGCAGACAAGCAAACACACAGACACACACATAGATATAAGCAACACTCAAACATACAAACACAGACATACACACAGACGCTTAAACCGACAAAAACAGAGACACGCATACATTATTTAATAGGCACACCAATAGAGTCACACACAGATACACACAAAGCCATACACACAGACACTCAGGCCACAGACAGACAGAGAGCTTGATAGATGGACAGACATAATACAGAGCAGGGCAGGATAAAACTCCACATTTCCCCATGCCTTTATGTGTAAAGGCCTTATGATGAATCTGCTCCCCCAACCCTCACTTTTATATAAAATCTGCACTCAAATGATGACCACTTTGACTTGAGGTTTTGAACGCATAACCAACCTCCAGATTAACAGGAAAGAATGCTAGCTTTGCTCCTGGTATCGAGACAATCACGTCGTTACGTGAAAAGGTCAGGCAGTTACCTCAAAACATCAGGTAGCTAGGTCAAAATGACAGGCAGCGACAACAGAACATCAAGTAGTTACGTCAACATGGCAGGCAGTTACGTCAAAACGTCTGGTAGTTACGTGAAAATGTAACCGAGTAAGGTTTATGTCCAGGATTACAGGGCTAGTAACAAACACCGCTGACCACTTCCTTACTGTGGCCATCATGTTCTATACGGAATTCTATCTAAGAACCGATAGTGACAGACTCAATCAGCATGTTAAAGAATATCCAAACCCCCCCCCCCCCCCCCAAACTCCGGGTGGAATGGGTTGACAACGTTCAGAAGGATCGCTTCCAGAAACCATCTCGGCTGTACACGACACAGGGTGAAAGGCAATGAAAGAGCTGACAGACTGGTCGCGTTTGAAGTAGTTAGTTGGGGAAGAAGTATGGCCCTGGCAGATATACTGAATGAGCTGCGTTCCAGAGACTGAGACAAAGGCGTCAGAGACGATCAACAGCCTGTTCGAAATGGGTATTGAACGAAGATGTGAAGTAAACGTAAGTAAAGGGCCTTTTGCTCGTCTTCAGCCTTTTGGAGCATTTAGGGCTATCCCTATATTGTTTAGACCGATCGACACTCGGTGGGTGATGTAGTCAACATCATGCCGGCAGCCTTTACTTCCCATGACTGTAGCTTGTAGCCATTTGAGCCTGGGAGAGCCTGACAACCAAAATCGTCTGGACCTGAACACACTATCTCCGATCAGCAAACAAGCGTCTAGTCGCTACACCACGACGACTCCCAGACGAAGTTGAGCATGCACAAACCGGAACATCAATTCCTGCCGGGTTCTGTGATCATGAATGCTGCATCGGCGGACAGAGTTCGAATGCTCTAGGATGTCGACATAGATAACAGGCAACAAGTTAATTATGTTTAAGGATAGGAATAAAACGTATCTAGGAAAAGTAAGGCGTTTGCGAGAGCAAAGTAATGGCTGTGAATCTACAACCAGGACGAGACCACAAGAACGGCATGTTGAAAAAGGATGGGGCTAGATGAGAAGCCAAAGAAGAATGAGAAACCAACACAGAACTGGTGTCATCAGCCACTATAAGCTGCTGGATTTACTGAGGAGGGGGTCGGAGCATCTATGGATTGAATGGTTCGAAATGAAGCGAGGATAATCTGTCAGCTAGCTAACTAGCTAGCTTACTAACTAACTAACTAGCTAACTAACTAAATACTAACTAACTAACTAACTAACTAACTAACTAACTAACTAACTAACTAGCTAGCTAACCTACTAGCTAACTAACTAATTAACTAACTAACTTACTAACTAACTAGCTAACTAACTAACTAACTAACTTACTTACTTACTTACTTACTTACTAACTAAATAATTAATTTATAAACTAACTGGCTAGCTAGCTAGCTAACTAACTAACTAACTAACTAACTAACTAGCTAGCTAGCTAGCTAGCTAACTAACTAACTAACTAACTTGCTAGCTAGCTAACCAGCTAACTAACTAACTAACTAACTAACTAGCTAGCTAACTAACTAACTGACTAACTAACTTACTTACTAACTAATTAACAAATTAACTAACTGGCTAGCTAGCTAGATAGCTAACTAACTAACTAACTAACTAACTTGCTAGCTAACTAACTAACTAACTGACTTGCTAGCTAACTAACTAACTAACTAACTTGCTAACTAACTAACTAACTAACTGACTTGCTAGCTAACTAACTAACTAACTGACTTGCTAGCTAACTAACTAACTAACTGACTAACTAACTAACTAACTAACTAACTAACTAACTAACTTACTTACTAACTAATTAACAAATTAACTAACTGGCTAGCTAGCTAGCTAACTAACTAACTAACTTGCTAGCTAACTAACTAACTAACTGACTTGCTAACTAACTAACTAACTAACTAGTTAGCTAGCTAACTAACTAACTAACTAACTAATTAACTAACTGGCTAGCTAGCTAGCTAACTAACTAACTAACTAACTAACTAACTAACTAACTAGCTAGCTAGCTAGCTAAATAAATAACTAGCTAGCTAGCTAACTAACTAACTAGCTAGCTAACTAACTAACTAGCTAGCTAAATAACATGCTAGCTAGCTAGCTAACTAACTAACTAACTAACTAACTAACTAGCTAACTAACTAACTAACTAGCTATCTATTTAGCTAACTAGCTAACTAACTAACTAAATAACTAGATAGCTAGCTAACTAACTAATTAACTTTAACTAACTAACTAACTAACTAACTAGCTAGCTAACTAACAAATAACTAACTAACTAACCAAACTAACTAACTAACTAAAATAACTAACTAACTAGCTAGCTAACTGACAATCAACTGTCTGTCTTACCCAGTTTGGGCTCACATCTGCAATGTCAAGGACGCTTAATATCTCTGTCATGGTAGGAGATCCATTTCCAGTCAGTGCAATGCTGAAATTGAATCGTTTAAATATACCAGATCTGTAAAACGGCTGTGCACACAACACTTAGGTTTTGGAAAAGACTTGAGTCCAAAAGTGGTCGAAGAGATAGACAAGACGCTTGCGTGGCGGGCAACTGTGTGGTATTACACTTGAATAAACAATCTTTAACCAAGGCAATGTGGTAATGATAATAGCAGATGGACGATCTACATCTTCTTGGCGTTCACCGGTTGTAAACTCCGGAGAAATATCCTGGCTGTTCGTCCACTTCTGAACTATGATCATATTCTAGAGCTTGAATGGTGTGTGTTAATTGTAGTAGTAGCAGCAGCAACAGTAATAGTAGGAGCGGAAGTTGTAATAGTAACAGTAATAGTAGGAGCAGAAGTCGTAATAGTAACAGTAATAGTAAGAGTAGTAATATATTTCAGTAGGAGTAATAGTAATACGTGGCACAGTGACAGTGACTAAGAGAGTGCAGTAGCTAGGAGATTGACAGTAACTGGGAAACTGACAGTAACTGGGAGACTGACAGTGACTGGGAGACTGGCAGTACCTGGGAGACTGTTAGTAACTAACAGTAGCTGGGAGGCAGGCAGTAACTGGGAGATTGACAGTAGCTAGGAGACTGACAGTAACTGGGAGACTGACAGTAGCTGGGAGACAGGCAGTAACTGGGAGATTGACAGTAGCTGGGAGACAGGCAGTAACTGGGAGATTGACAGTAGCTGGGAGACAGGCAGTAACTGGGAGATTGACAGTAGCTGGGAGACAGGCAGTAACTGGGAGATTTACAGTACCTGGGAGACTGTTAGTAACTAACAGTAGCTGGGAGACAGGCAGTAACTGGGAGATTGACTGTAGCTGGGGGACAGGCAGTAAATAGGGGACTGACAGTAGCCGGGAGACTGACAATAGCTTGGAGACTAACAGTAGCTGTGAGACTGACAGTAACTGGGAGACTGACAGTAACTAGGAGACTGACAGTGACTGGGAGACTGGTAGTAGCTGGAAGACTGATAGTAACTGGGAGATTGACAGTAGCTGGGATACTGGCAGTAACTGGGAGTTGACAGTAGCTGGGAGACCGGCAGTAACTGGGAGATTGACAGTAGGTGGGAGACGGGCAGTAATTGGGGGAATGACAGTAGCCAGGAGACTGACAGTAGATGTGAGATTGACAGTAGCTGGGAGACCGGCTGTAGCTGGGAGACCGGCTGTAACTGGGAGACTGACAGTGACTGGGAGACTGGCAGTAACTGGGAGACTGACAGTAACTGGGAGACTGACAGTAACTGGCAGACTGGCAGTAAACGGGAGACTGGCAGTAGCTGGGAGGTTCAAAATAACTGAGTTACTTAAAGTAAAGTAACGGACACTTTTCCATCCCTTCAAACGTAATGGGTACATAGGGCTAGACCTATATTTTATAGACCAATCGGCGCTTGGCGGGTGATGTAGTCAGTACCACGCAGGCTGAGATGAAGGAAAGTCGAGAAGGGGGAGGGGTAAAGAAGGAGGGCTATCCTCTGAATAACGGGCACTAAAGATGGCGGCCGCAAAATATCCTGACGAGCCTCAGTCACGTGTCAATTGCGCACTTGCGGTCACGAGCACATCGCGGAAAAACTAGGATTAGTGACTGATGACAATTTCGAGAAACGGAACAAACCGCCGAGTTAAACTCGCCGCCGAGAGTCTCCCCCGGATGGGGCTAAACTAGATGGCTGGGACCCATGAGCGGCAGCTACCGTTACAACTTCTGTGCCATAATTTCCAGATTTAAAAGCATAAAATTATCGGTAAGTAGTCGATTTGATATAACATTTTTTTAGTTCCTTATTAGTTTTGACTTCAATTTTTGAATGTTTACAACACATGACACGTGACTGAGGCTCGTCGGGATATTTTGCGGCCGCCATCTTTAGTGCCCGTTTTTCGGAGGATAGCCAGAAGGAGTATTAGGAAACGAAAAAAGGAAAAGAGTTTTATTCACACAACGTACCCTGTCTTCATCTCTGTAAGTACATCCGACCCGACGATCAGAATGAGGCGAAACTTCTTCTCACCCGACCAGAAGAATGGGTGCCTGCAGGGACAGATTCACAAACATAGTTCATCGTTAATTCACTCGCGCAATTTAGGCGCTCGCTTTACATTAAAACTCGTTTATTTTTAACATTTATCTCTGTTCAACACAATATTCTTACCAACGCTATGCTGTCAGTGTCTAACATGGACACTGTCTTCTGGAGATAGAAGAAAAATAGTCACAACAGAAATGAAATATTTACGCAGTATGCTAGGTGTAACGGAGAACGATCGACTTAGGAACGACGATATCAGGAGAGTCGCCACAGAACCGATACTGAACTTTATGGGTAGACAACAAATCAAATGGTTTGGCCATGTAACAAGATTAGCAGCCTACAGGGCTCCACAGAGAGCAATGTTATACATATATTACGGTAACAGATCAAGAGGTCGACCACGCAGAATATAGACTGCAGAAATATCAGAGACACTGAAAGTACTTTATACGAAGTGAACAGAAGGGCCTGTTCCAGAGCTCTCTTCCTGTCCTGAGGCCGCGAGGCATTCCCGGAGTAGAGAAAAGAGATAGGAAGAAGAAGACCTCGTGTGTTCAAACACATGTTCAGTATCCAGCCTCCCCGCTAAACAACTTCTCGTTTTGTAGTTGCCAAGTAGCCTGCACTCATCCTCCATATTAAACGTTCTGCATCACTTGGAGGTGGGAATCACCGTGGTGTAGCGGCTAGGCACCCGCCTGCGGATCAGAAGGTGGTGGATTCAGGTCCTAACTGAGCTGGACTTTATTTTTTTTTAAAGGACTAAGGCTTCTAGGTTGACCTAGCCTTATTTTGGTTCCAGCTAAAGTTATGGGAAGTAAACGTGGTCGGCGTACTGTTTACCATATCACCCACCGAGTGTCAAGTGGTCTATAAAATCTACGCCCTGCCCGATGTGCCTGGTTCGCGTGCAGGCGTGAGAAAGGGTCCTGTACATATTGTACCACTTGGTGGTAAACTGACCACTTGGTGGTCAACTGACCACTTGGTGGTCAACTGATGCACTCAGCCGAGTATCAAATGGAAGATCACGGTTTGAAGAGAATGGTGCAGCGGGAAGCAACCAGGGTATCTGGCGGACGCTCAACACTCAGGGGACAGGCGAGACGGACATACAATCAGACTGTTACTAGTACCATCGAAACTGGAACTCTGTGATGGCTGCTGAAGATGGGGACAGAGCGGTTTCGATAATGTCCCGAGTACTGTGATATCGGTTTATAACTCATAACTCCAAAAAAAAAGAAACTTATCAGTAAGTCTTCCGGAAAATTCATTTTCCGATCAGGTAGCCACGCGATAAACTAAGCGATCAGCCCATTAGTCAAACAACAACACACACGCAAAAAAAAAAGAAACTTATCAGTAAGTCTTCCGGAAAATTCATTTTCCGATCAGGTAGCCACGCGATAAACTGATTACCAGATTACGCGATAAACTAAGCGATCAGCCCATTAGTCAAACAACAACACACACGCAAAAAAAAAAAGAAACTTATCAGTAAGTCTTCCGGAAAATTCATTTTCTGATCAGGTAGCCACGCGATAAACTGATTACCAGATTACGCGATAAACTAAGCGATCAGCCCATTAGTCAAACAACAACACACACGCAAAAAAAAAAAAAAAAAAAAAATAACAAACCAACCAGTGTGCAATAATTCAACCAGCCAGCCTATCGACCAAATGATCCAGCCAATCAAAGAATAAGGCACAGACCAACTAGTCAACTATCCAGAGAAGTAATCAACTAACCAGGGCACGAATTACTAAATTATCCAGCCAATCAAATAACAAGGCATCGAACAATAGTAAATTTTCCAAATAGCCAATCATGCAACTAGCCTAAAGTCCATCTAGTAAAAACAAAACAGCCAACAAATCAACTAAGTAGGGTATCAACCAACTAGAAAATTCACCAGATAACCATTCAACCAAGTAGGGTATTTACCAAACAGTACATTAACCAGCCAACCAATCAACCAACCAACCAGCATTTTAACCAACCAGCTGATTATCCAAATAGCCAATCAACAAATTAATCAACTAAAAAACCAGCGCCCAAACCCGGTCACCTGACAAGCCAGCCAACAAACAACTGAGCAATCAACCCAGCTCACAGCCAACAAACCAACTAATTAACACGGACTAGAATGGCAGATAGCAACGAATCTCCAACATTAACAGTTTGGATTGTCTCGGAGTGACGTCTCATGAAGCAAATCGGTGCAGTCTTTGAGGTCAAGATAGGAGACATTGTAACCAACTTCTCATGGGAGCAATCACAGAGGTACTTTGGGGTAGCTGCTGAACTGGAGGACTGAACACGCATGAGAACGTCTAAAAGCTAGTCGAAGTCCCAATGTCACTACAGACGGTTCGTCCCATAGTAGTGTTCCGGGATGATGATGATGATAACGATGCGATGATAATGATGATGGTGATGATGATAACGATGATAATGATGCTATTGATGATAATGATGATGATGATGATGATAATGCTTATGGTGATGGTGGTGGTGATGATGATGATGATAATGCTTATGGTGATGATGATGATGATGATGATGATGATGATGATAATGATGAAGATGATGATGATAATGATGACGATGATGATGATGATGATGATGCTGATAATGCTTATGGTGATGATGATGATGATGATGATGCTGATAATGCTTATGATGATAATGATGATGATGATGATGCTGATAATGCTTATGGTGATGATGATGATGATGATGATGATGATGATGATGATGATGATGACGATGATGATGATGCTGATAATGCTTATGGTGATGATGATGATGATGGTGATGATGATGCTTATGGTGATGATGATGATGATGGTGATGATGATGCTTATGGTGATGATGATGATGATGATGATGGTGATGCTTATGGTGATGATGATGGTGATGATGATGCTTATGGTGATGATGATGATGATGATGATAATGCTTATGGTGATGATGATGATGATGATGATGATGATGGTGATGCTTACAGTGGTGATGATGATGATGATGATGATAATGCTTATGGTGATGATGATGATGATGATGATAATGCTTATGGTGATGATGATGATGATGATGATGATGATGATGATGATAATGATGATGATGATGATGATGATGATAATGATGACGATGGTGATGACGATGATGATGCTGATAATGCTTACGATGATGATGATGATGATGATGCTTATTGTGATGATGATGATGATGATGATGATGATAATGCTTATGATGATGATGATGATGATAATGCTATGGGGATGATGATGATGATGATAATGCTTATGATGATGATGATGATGATGATGACGATGATGATGATGATAATGCTTATGATGATGATGATGATGATGATGCTTATGGTGATGATGATGATGCTGATAATGCTTATGGTGATGATGATGATGCTGACGCTGATGATGATGATGATGCTGATGATGATGATGATGGGATCGGCACCTACTTGAGACAGTGTTCGATGGTGGGTCGAGCGGTGGGATCCGGAAACAACATGCCAGACACTAGGTCGTTGGCCTCGTCGCTGATAAGATCCATGTGGGTGGTGTTCCGGGCCATATTCATCTCTGCCTCCATGGGCGTCGACCCGAAGGGGTGCTGACCGCCCGTCAGGATGAAGTACAGCAGCATGCCCGCCACCTGTGGGATAAAGAGAAGAGTATCAGAAACTCGGATGTGGGGGAGGGGCTCAGTGGTTTCTAGGCAAGGCCTGGAGTGCAGAAAATTTAAAAAAAAAATCCTTTATCACCAGCATCATCATCATCATAAACCACTTCTGCCGTTAAGCGTCGTGGGGAGGAATAATTTGCGATCCAGTGCAAGTTGGCTGCCACTGGCTATTGTCATGTGAAGGCGTAGAGTGTCCTTGTGTTGTCGAACCATATTTTCCGCGGCCGTCCTCTTGCTCTTGTAGTTGATCTTCTGAGATGTAGTGCTTGTGATTGTAGTGGAGAGTTTCAGTTCAGATGGCGCCAGTAGCAGTTTGAATAAATATCCAGCTTGTCTCCACCTTTTTCTTTTTTTAAGTGTAGTAGAGTGTCTACAAGATCGCCTGGTCATTCTTTGATTGTAGAGTGTCGACAAGATCGCTGGTCACTCTCTGAGTGTAGAGTGTCGACAAGATCGCCTAGTCACTCCCTGAGTGTAGAGTGTCGACAAGATCCCTGGTCATTCTTTGATTGTAGAGTGTCGACAAGATCGCCTGGTCATTCTTTCATTGTAGAGTGTAGACCAGATCGCCTGGTCATTCTTTGATTGTAGAGTGTAGACCAGATCGCCTGGTCATTCTTTGATTGTAGAGTGTAGACCAGATCGCCTGGTCACTCCCTGAGTGTAGAGTGTCGACAAGATCGCCTGGTTTCTCCCAACTGCACCATTCTCCCCAGACCGTAATGATCCATTCGTGTCTTTGCATTGTTCACCTGCTCAAAACGAACTTCGGTTCCATTTAGAGTCTTATGCACAAATTCACCACCCATTGGTGCAGAACCAGCCACAATATCTGCTTGTTCATTGCTCAACACACCTGCCTCCCCTAGAAACAAAAATATCAAAATAACGCCAACCACCCGGGGAATTCTGAAGCGATGCTTGCCACTCTGCACGGAACATGCTTGTAAATGTGGTAATCTCAGGATGTCAGTTCTGTAAGTAGCAGCTCGGAGTGAAGAAACTGCCAGTCAGTCACAGAAAAGGGAAACAAATTAGTGAGAGAGGTAGACCATCACAAACAACAGAAAGTCAGAACTGCAATCACCTGGATATCTGAAGCCATGGAAGGTTGCGACTGTTCGTTGTTGAGGTCTTCAGTGGCTGTCCAGCAGATAGAGCGATCTGTACACAACCACACAGGCCATATCAGCACAGACATCTTTACAAAATACATACTATTAAATAACGCCCCAAATCCTCTTAGAGCCGTCGTGGTCTAGGGGCTAGACGCTCGCCTGCGGATCGGAAGGTCCAGGATTCGTTTCCTGAAGAAGGCCAGATTTTTTTCAAAAACGAATTTAGCTTCCAGGTCAACCTAGCCTTGAGTGGGTAACAGGACAGTCCTGGGAAGTAAAGGCGGTCGTTGTGATGCTCCCCACATCACCCACCAAGTGCCGTTTGGTCTGTTAAATATAGATCTAGCCCTATATACCCAATACCCCTAAAAGGCATGGAAAAGGGTCCTTTACTTTTACTTACTTTACAGACTTATCTTGACCCTGTTGTACCCAACAGTGTCCAGGTTAAATATTAATTATTTATATTGTCTGTTGCCACCCCGTCGGCTCTGTGGCTAAGTCGATGCGAACGCTTCGCTTGGTAATGCCGGGATGCCAGGTTCGATCCCAGCTGCGGGCCATGCGCCTTGCGTTGGTTTCGACAGTGGTATCAAGAAAGCCGACCGTCCAGAAGGCAATGACAAACTACTGGATGTAAATTGCCTAGAAAAACCACACAACAGCCAGGGGCTGTTAGGGTTTATTCTGCAACGGCCTGTAAAGGATACGCAACTAACTTGTTGCCACCCCAGGGCAGGATGTAATTATTTGATTTTTGTTTTTTTAAAGCCCCTTCCCGAATGTTTTTGGGGGCCCTAGTATAACCTAACGCTTGAACCGAGTTTCTGGGACTTGCACCTGGGTGATTCTCATGCGAATGGTGGCACTTTGTGTCAACGGATGTTTACCGCTCGTTGCGAGGTTCTGGTAGGGTTGAACTTCGTTCATTCAGGTCACATATTACAATTGCCCGTTTGTGCGCTTCGTAAAATGGGGATTCCCAGAGAATGTTATTCCACGAATTGAAGTGCCAGTCTCTGTTTTGCTTACCCTCTGGTCTGTACATCATTGCTTGCTGGGTATACTGTCTCTTGACATTCGCATTACATGACCAAACCATTTCACTCTTTGTTTTTTAATGAAATCCAGACCTGCCACTATCCCAATTTTCCTCATGATTTCATCGTTTCTGATTTTGTTTCTTGTTTTTATATTAAATAATGCAATTTTTTTAAGATATGATTTGCTTAGGGTTGCATACTCATATATCAACCTTCATTGACTAAAGTAACGCCGCCCTGGGAGAGAATGTACTGATGTCATTACAGAGTTCCTTCATCGACACGGAATGACAATAGCCATTGCCGCCAATCAAGCAATGGTTAGCAAACTGTTCATTACCTCGTGGATTAACACAAGTGGGAGTTGATGATGATGATGATGACGATGATGAGTATGATAAAAGAAGACACTAATGGAATGATAATTCAATACAAACAAATCACATGTTTGTTTGTTTGTTTTAGTATCCAGAAGCCATGAGTTGTTAACCCTTAGGCTTGGTATTATGGATATCGCAACCTTTCGGCCTTGATTCCATTGTAAATACCGTAAATCTGGGAGAAATGTGGCTTTCCTGCCTACCCCTGGGATTGAGCCCGGACCACAAGGAGTTTGTCACCCGGTCACCGCGCAATCCGGTTTAGCTAACTACGCTAGAGAGCCAGGCAGCAAATCACATGAACCCCGTTTAGCCTCAAACATAGTATCAGTTTTACAGATAGTTATAAAGCGACCTGTAGCCGATTTATGTTAGGTATCTTAAGTTAAAACACTGGCACCCTAAAAGATGTGAACATCAAGGAAGACTGGCACGTAAATAGCATCTTGTCTTGGAAGCTTTTGTGGTGTGATGATAATATATGGTTTCTGTGGCGAAGTGATTAGGCCGTTTGCCTCGTGACCTGAAGGTCGTGGGCTCGTTTCATGGCTTGGTTCACCAGTTTTTTTACCGAGACTCATAGGTCCGTCGCTGGAGCTAAGGTGTTCGTGATTTGTGCGACGTTCTCGACAGGCGGCTAGTTGTTCCTTTGAGAGAGACTGAGCCATCTGGCATGAAAGCCCGGTGCAGTGAAGCCGATTCTCTCACCTATACCTTTGTCTGTTCTACAATGTTACCATATAACAGCTGTCAGGAAAGGATGTTAAACCAGAGAACAAGTAGAACTAGCCATTTCAAATTATCACATCACAAGTGAACGTTGCGGCTAGGAAACCTTCATCAGCATATTAGGTGAACAGATAGCATTGCATTTACAAAAAAAGGATACACAAAATCACTTAACTGAGGTGTGTCCGAGAGAAATCCTTATGTGTGCTCAGCCATTTGAAGCTTAACATAACATGTGTTGAACGTTAAGTCCCTTGGACAATTTGGAGCCCATTAAATAAATAATGCGTCTCTCAAGAGGTTTCGCCACGTAACAGTTCTAATTCTACTTTTCGTTCGGATTTCTGCTTTCCTGGTAATGCAACACAAAGCTGGGACCTCAATACATCAACTCCTAAAGTTTTTTTTTAGTTTTTTTTTTTTATTATTAGACATGGAAAGACAATTAAACCATACAGGCGTTCACTTAGCTCAGCAATACAATACCTACCACGTTCAGACTTCTCCGAGCCCGATCTCGTACGCACAGGAGACGCCCCTGAATATGTCACTATGCCGTATCCAGCCAGCCGAAGTCGGCCCTCGGCATCGACAAACACCCAGGACGGCTGCAAGGAAGTAGATCTACTTACAGCATTCAACTACAGCAAAATTGTTGACTGACTAACTGACTTTCTACCCCACCGAGACATCACACAAGCGATAAACACCCGATGACACAAAGTGCCACCATGTGGATGAGGATCACCCGTGGAGAGGTCCCAGAAACCACGCTCGGCCATTGCTCCCTGGACGGTCGGCTTTCTTAATACCACTGTCGAAACCAACGCAAGGCGCATGGCCCCCAGCTGGGATCGAACCCGGCATCCCGGCATTACGAAGCGTTCGCATCGACTTAGCCACAGAGCCGACATGCTGACATATACAAGTACCAAAATTCGTTTTACATTAGCTCCATACACAGGATTTTGGAATGAATGGTCGAATGATAATACAAAATAATAATTAATTATATTTTCGTTGCAATAATAATTCCATGCTATGAAAAAGATGCGAGTTTATTTGGTTAGAAATTCAAAGAATCTGTCATTCCTGATTTCTGATTACTGCTTTAAGAATCGACAACACAGAGCTTTCTGCCAGTGTCTTCGTGCTGAACAAACTCCAGAACGTGTCTTACAAGACTGTCCTCTCCTGAGGGAGCTGTGAAGCAACATGTGGCCACACCCAACAGACCTGACAACTAAGTTTTAAGGAATCCTGAGAGACCTTAAGATAGCATTTTAGTTTATGGCTCACACTGGATTAGGTACACGACCAGAAATAGCTAAAGAAGACAAAGATGTGGCTTGAGGTTTGAAGTTTGACTAAGGGATCAACATCATGGCACAGTGGTAGTAACTTATAAGCGCTCCTTTCTTCTTCTAACTCAAGTTCAAGTCTGAAGAAGCTCAGCACAGTGCACAGGCTCTGTAGCACCGGCGAGGATCCTGAAATATTTTGGGTAGATTTTTAACTTTAAATTTTTACCTGGGCAGCGCCGTTATGCTACTCTTTTCGATTTCCAACTGCCAAGGGATTTTTTTACGTGCGCTACAATGCACACGGGCGTCCGATCTCACTACCCAGAGACTAGTAGAAATTATTAGGTCCAAGTCCACGTGACAAAATCCCAGTCCTTACCGGGGATTGAACCCGGCACCTCAAACACTCGAGGCGGACACCATGCGTTCTTCCCTCTCCTTCTCCTCTTCTAGTTTCTTCTCCTCTTTTTCCTGTCCAACTGTTCACCCACACGCCTTTTTCGCTTTCTAAAAAGAAACAGTCTGCATACAAATTAACCAGATCTGTAAAGCAGATGTGCAGGCAAAAACTCAAATTCTGGGATCAGATTAAAGTACAGAAGAGGACGAACCAAAACTTTCCGTCAGAGTTAACAACCGTTTAATGGTATGCAGATTGTTGGTTACTGGCCTCTCAAGCGGGTGCACTCCGACATTGATGCACACACCCCCATTAGTGGCCTCATACGATATGCTTGTCGTACCTAACACATTGTCGGCGTCTGTGGCTTAGGCGTTGCAAACGCGCTTTGAAATGCCGGGGTGCCGGGTTCGATCCCAGCTGTGGGCTCTGCGCCATGCGTTGGTTTCGTCAGTGGTATCGAGAAGCCGACCGTCCAGTAGCAATGGCAAACTACTAGACGTGAATTTGCCTAGAAAAACACAACAGCCAAAAACTGCTGGGGCTGGTACTGCAACGTCCTGTAAAGGATACGCAACTAACTTAAACTTACCTAAGACATTATGACGAGAGGCAGGTGTGGCCTACCTTGAGATGCCCGTGTGGCATGTTGAGGTTGTGGTGTATGAACTTGAGTCCCTCCAGCAGTTGCCAGGCCAAGCGGTTGGCAGACAGCGGATCCTGCCGGTGAGAGAGCTGGACGATCTGCATGTACTCCGCCAGCGTGTAGTCACACAGGTCCAGGGCGATGTACTCACTGCTACACGTCTCGCTCATTCCCTGCATTGCATTCAACAAGTACTACTACTATCAATATCACTACTACCACCACCACCACCACCACCACCACCACCACCACCACCAACACCACCACCACCACCACCACCACCACTATCACCACTACTATTTCTACTACTAGTACTACTACTAATTCTACTACTACTACTACTACTACTACCACTAACTACTACTATTACTACTACTACTATAACTACTACTGCTGCTACTACTACTACTAACTACTACTATTGCTTACTATTACTACTATTGCTGCTGCTGCTGTTGCTACTACTACTACTACTACTAACTACTACTGCTGCTATTACTACTACGACTACTACTTGAAACTTGAGACAACATTGGATACATAAAAAAATTTTATCAAAGCGAACAAAAGAAGAAGAAGAAGAAGAAGAAGAAGAAGAAGAAGAAGAAGAAGAAGAAGAAGAAGAAGAAGAAGAAGAAGAAGAAGAAAAAGAAGAAAAAAGAAGAAGAAGAAGAAGAAGAAGAAGAAGAAGAAGAAGAAGAAGAAGAAGAAGAAGAAGAAGAAGAAGAAGAAGAAGAAGAAGAAGAAGAAGAAGAAGAAGAAGAAGAAGAAGAAGAAGAACTACTAATACTACTATTACTATTACTACTGCTGCTGCTGCTACTACTATTACTATTACTACTACTGCTGCTATTACTAATACGACTACGGCTTGAAACGGCTTTTGTTCAGCAGCTAGACGTTCGCTTGCGCATCAGAAGGTCATGGGTTCAAATCCTAATGAAGCTTTTTTTTTATTAATGACCTTGGCTTTCAGATCGACCCAGCCTGAAATGGATACCAGCTTAAGTCCTGGGAAGTAAAGGCGGCCGGCATGATGTTGGCCCCATTCCCAATCAGGGGTTTATAACAATATCAGTCTAGTCTTGTATGTCCGATGTGTCACTGGCTTATGAAGGATCTTTTACTGCTACTATTACTACTACTACAACTACTACTACAAGCACTACTACTGCTGCTGCTGCTACTACTGCTACTACTACTGTTGCTGCTGCTGCTTCTACTACTGCTACTACTACTACAACTGCTGCTGCTGCTACTATTACTGCTACTACTAATACTTCTACCACCACTACCACAACCACTACGACTACTATAACTAATGTTACTACTACATTGCATACTTGTTATTTTCGTTCGTTGGGGTGACGCCTATTTACAGCAAAGCTGCGATTTTTGCGCCATTGGGACGACACATCCGACTTACAAGTAATACTGCTGCTACTTCTATCGCTGCTGCTATTCCTGCTACTACTACAGTTGCTATAACTACTGTTGCTACTACTACGGTTGCTACTACAACGGTTGCTACTACTACTGTTGCTACTACTACTGATGCTAATACTTCTATCGCTGGCCGGGTTGACCTCCCCGACGTACAACTAATACTGCTGCTACTTCTATCGCTGCTGCTGTTCCTGCTACTACTACTGTTGCTACTACTACTGTTTCTACTACTACTGGTGCTACTACTACTGTTGCTACTACTACTGTTGCTACTACTACTGTTGCTACTACTACTGGTGCTACTACTACTGGTGCTACTACTACTGTTGCTACTACTACTGTTTCTACTACTACTGGTGCTACTACTACTGGTGCTACTACTACTGGTGCTACTACTACTGGTGCTACTACCACTGGTGCTACTACTACTGTTGCTACTACTACTGTTTCTACTACTACTGGTGCTACTACTACTGGTGCTACTACTACTGGTGCTACTACTACTGGTGCTACTACTACTGTTGCTACTACTCCTGTTGCTACTACTACTGTTGCTACTACTACAGGTGCTACTACTACTGGTGCTACTACTACTGTTGCTACTACTACTGGTGCTACTAGTGCTGTTGCTACTACTACTGGTGCTGCTACTACTGGTGCTCCTACTACTGTTGCTACTACTACTGTTGCTACTACTACTGGTGCTAGTACTACTGGTGCTCCTACTACTGGTGCTAGTACTACTGTTCCTACTAGTGCTGTTGCTACTACTACTGGTGCTACTACTACTGTTCCTACTAGTGCTGTTGCTACTAGTGGTGTTGCTACTAGTGCTGGTGCTGCCACTACTGGTGCTACTACTACTGGTGCTACTAGTACTGGTGTTACAACTACTGGTGCTACTACTACTGGTGCTAATAGTACTGGTGCTACTATACTATTACTGGTGCTACTAGTACTGGTGCTACTACTACTGGTGCTACTACTACTGGTGCTACTATTACTGGTGCTACTGGTACTGGTGCTACTAGTACTGGTGCTACTAGTACTGGTGCTACTAGTACTGGTGCTACTAGTACTGGTGCTACTAGTACTGGTGCTACTAGTACTGGTGCTACTAGTACTGGTGCTACTAGTACTGGTGCTACTACCACTGTTACTACTGCTACTGTTGCTACTACTACTGGTGCTACTACTACTGTTGATACTACTACTGGTGATACTACCACTGGGGCTACTACCACTGTTGCTACTACCATTTTTGCTACTACTACTGGTGCTACTAGTACTGCTGCTACAACTACTGGTGCTAATGCTACTGGTGCTCCTACTACTGCTGCTCCTACTACTGGTGCTCCTACTACTGGTGCTACTACTACTGGTGCTACTACTACTGGTGCTACTACTACTGGTGCTCCTACTACTGGTGCTACTACTACTGGTGCTACTACTACTGGTGCTACTACTACTGGTGCTACTACTACTGGTGCTACTACTGCTGGTGCTACTACTACTGGTGCTACTACTACTGGTGTTACTACTACTGGTGCTACTACTACTGGTGCTGCTACTACTGGTGCTGCTACTACTGGTGCTACTACTACTGGTGCTACTACTACTGGTGCTACTACTACTGGTGCTACTACTACTGGTGCTACTACTGCTGGTGCTACTACTACTGGTGCTACTACTACTGGTGTTACTACTACTGGTGCTACTACTGCTGGTGCTACTACTACTGGTGCTACTACTACTGGTGTTACTACTACTGGTGCTACTACTACTGTTGCTACTACTACTGGTGCTACTACTACTGTAGCTACTACTACTGTTGCTACTACTACTAGTGCTACTACTACTGGTGCTACTAGTACTGGTGCTACTACTACTGGTGCTACTACAACTGGTGCTATTACTAATGGTGCTACTACTACTAGTGCTACTACTACTACTTGTGCTACTACTACTGTTGCTACTACTACTAGTGCTACTACTACTGGTGCTACTACCACTGGTGCTACTACTGCTGTTGCTACTACCACTGGTGCTACTACTACTGTTGCTACTACTACTGGTGCTACTACTACTGTTGCTACTACTACTGGTACTACTACTACTGGTGCTACTACTACTGGTGCTACTACTACTGTTGCTACTACTACTGGTGCTACTACTACTGGTGCTACTACTACTGGTGCTACTACTACTGGTTCTACTACTACTGTTGCAACTACCACTACTGCTACTAATACTGGTGCTACTAGTACTGGTGCTACTACCACTGGTGCTACTACTACTGGTGCTACTACTACTGGTGCTACTACTGCTGTTGCTACTACCACTAGTGCTACTACTACTTGTGCTACTTCTACTGGTGCTACTACTACTGGTGCTACTACTACTGGTGCTACTACTGCTGTTGCTACTACCACTAGTGCTACTACTACTGGTGCTACTACTACTGGTGCTACTACTTTGTTGCTACTACTACTGGTGCTACTACTACTGGTGCTACTACTACTGGTTCTACTACTACTGTTGCAACTACCACTACTGCTACTAATACTGGTGCTACTAGTACTGGTGCTACTACCACTGGTGCTACTACTACTGGTGCTACTACTACTGTTGCTACTACCACTGTTGCTACTACCACTGTTGCTACTACCACTGTTGCTACTACCACTGTTGCGACTAGCACTGTTGCTACTACCACTGTTGCGACTAGTACTGTTGTTACTACTACTGGTGCTACTACTACTGGTGCTACTACTACTGGTGCTACTACTACTGGTGCTACTACTACTGGTGCTACTACTACTGGTGCTACTAATACTGGTGCTACTACCACTGTTGCTACTAGTACTAGTGCTACTAGTACTAGTGCTACTAGTACTAGTGCTACTAGTACTGTTGCTACTACTACTGTTGCTACTACTACTGTTGCTACTACTACTGTTGCTACTTCTACTGGTGCTACTACCACTGGTGCTACTACCACTTTTGCTACTACTACTGTTGCTACTACTACTGTTGCTACTACTACTGTTGCTACTACTACTGTTGCTACTACTACTGTTGCTACTACTACTGTTCCTACTACTACAAGTGCTACTACTACTGTTGCTGCAGCCGCCTTGCTACTGCCGTAAATATTAGTACTGCTACTAGTTAATAATACGCAAATAAGGCAAGAGACTAAGACAATCCATCTAATTTTATACGAAATCGCTGCTGGAACTACATCTGCTGTGCACTCAGAAAGGATAAGACCAGACTCCCATATCACGCCCCTATATGGACAACAGAAGGAAAATGAAAATGGAGAAGACCAAGAAAGAGAATGCGTAGAACCATCATCAGGGAAGGATTACCTATACGCCTAACAAACATTCAAGACCTAAAACAGGTGACAACGAACAGACACACATTGATAGTTATGACCTCTGTCTTCGGCGCCGCCCTAGACTAAAGAGGAACAAACTAACTAACTATCTACTTAACTAATTAACTAGGTAATGCAAACTTCTTATATCAATCTTTTCTGCGACAACCTTGCGCTGTGGATGACCTGGTGCATAAATTATCCCACAAACCTTGCATCTGAGGATAAAGTGATGGTCAAGTTCCGGGTCACACATGATGTCCAGCAGGTAGG